ATAAAATAAATCTGGAGGCTTTTCTCCAGTCGTTTGCTTGTATCCTTCGCGTGTGTTTGCCGTCTGTTTTACATATAGAAGCATGCTCAAAGGCTCAAAATCAAAGTTTCTGTTCTAAATGTACACAAACAGCTCACACGTCTACAGCCGAAAGGCCTGAATCTCAGGCAGTGACGTTTCAGAGGAAAGTGAGCTCAAACGCATGTTAAGCAGTAAATACGTTCTTTTCTCATAAAACCTACGAATGCTGAATGTCAAAATATAACAAAGAAAAAGTAAAATATATGAAAATATTAAAAGCTAGTGCAGTAAAATGTATCAAACTTTACATTAAAATCTCAGCTTTCCTCAGTCTCTTCACTGAAATGCACAGAGAAATGTTGGCGTTATTACAACACAACAAATTTATGACAAGTTTATCCATAATTTATGATCTTTGAGTGGATTAAACGATGCTATAAAAGTGCAGTGAACACATCGGAGATGGATGACATCGCAAATGCTTCTGGTTATTGAGCATTCGATCATTTCATGACTCCAAATCATTAGAATAGGATAAATGTTCGTCCTGCTCTAATGCAGATCATTAAAACACTCGTTTAACAAAAACTTTTTTTTTTAACTGTTTTGGCAAATTGTAGAAAAAGAGCATCCAATGCTGTAACGAAGAGTTACAGAATATTTTAATAGTTTGTTAAAAGAGAGCGATTCTGTGGATACAGAGCCACAAAAGAGAATGTGTGTGTGCGTGCATGTGTGTGTGCGCACTAATCTTGTCTGTCACCGTCTCAGTGGCCAACAGGACCGTAGATCAGGCCAACATCGTTGGAGACACAGCGGTTGCCGGGGCCAACGAAGTGTCGCAGTCGACCATCGAGGGAGTTGAGAACGTCGCCGCGTCCACTGGGTTCGTCAGTCAGGTCAGTTACCATGGCAACGTCCAACATTTTGACCAACCAAGCGATTTCAGGATTTCTTAGCCACAACAAACCGGAGAGAAACAAACAAAGAAATAAATAAAACATTTTCTTTATTGATAATTAGATGAACCAGAAAGCTAGCATTTATTTCTGGTGACAATAAACCAGAGGTTTAGGGTCCAGACACCTCTGTAGGTGGTGAAAGTCCCCAGATGTTTTCAGAAATCTATTTAGATGTTAAACAATTTAAAATATTTCCACCTATGTTGTTAAAAGTAAATGCAATAATTGTAAACAAATAAAAGTAGTATTATACCGGTAGTTGTCAAGTTTGTTTCTCTTGTAATTATGATGTTGTTTAAATGCTTATTATGGTTATTATTGTCATTAGTTTATATTAAAATA